ACAGTGTATGTGAACTGCTGCATTGAAAGTGAATTTGCTCTGTAAACTTTCACCCAAATCACAATTTAAAATATATGTGTGTGTGTGTGTTATATATAAAAATATAGTTATATGTATTGAGATAAATAGCCCAAAGAGAAAGGCTTAAAAATTACCTTCAGTTTTTAATGAAAACAAAAAAAAGGAACATGTAAATATTGTGCATGAAATTTAGAATTTTTATAAAAGTTTCCTGATCTTACAGGTAATGTTTGATTATGGATAATTTTCTAACTTTTTGATGGTAGATTTCCTATTAGTTTCTTAAACCATAAGATACATTGAATTCAATTAACTGCTTTATACCAAAGATTATCTAGGCCTGTGCATTCTAGAAGTCATTGTCTTTTTGGAATGAAACAAAGAGTAATCGGTGTGTCGGTCTGTGATTCTTTTTCTCCTTCTCCTATTTTGCTTGGCGATCCTGGCTAAGAGAGCTGTGTACTAGATATTTGCCTTGTATCATCATCTTTTCTATTGCATATTTCCTCTAACAGTGAATGAGATTAGCAGGAATGTTATATAGATGCCAGGAGTTGCTTGGTGGTGCATACAATTAAGTGCTGGGCCGCTAACCAAAAAGTTCGTGGTTCAAACCCACCCAGAGGCAACTTGGAAGAAAAGCCTGGTGATCTGCTTCGAAAGGTCACAACTATGAAAACTTCCTGGAGTAGTTCTGCTCTCACACATGGTGGTGTTACTATGAGTCAGAATTGACTCAGTGGCAACTGGCATATGGATTCCAGCAAAGACACATGATTATCTTGCTTCAGAAAAATATAATACTGATGTAGCAGATCCTTAGAATAACATTTCTTTCTTCATGTGTACACACCTCTGTGCACTCTTGCGTGTGTGTGTTTGAGCATGTTGTGGTAACTAATGAAGAGAAGGATTCAGAAGATAGAGAATTAACTTTTATAATATGGTAATGTGCCTTTTTGATGGTTCAACTTGTATTAATACTAAGAACTGCACTGAAATTTGTCAGCTCCAATTCAGGTATTTTTACCTGACTGGACTCCAAACAACTGAAAAACAAGCTCAGAACTCTTCAGTTCCATTGGATGGTCTCTCCAGGGAACTCATCATAGTTTTTCTGCCCCATTTAGTCAAGAGACTTGACACCTGATCTGAGCTGGATAGTGTTCACAAAAACATCATCTTTTCCTGGAACCTAGGAATGTGACCATATGTGAAAGAGTTGTTGCAGATGTTAACTATTAAGATGCAATCATACTGGAGCAGGGCGCCCCATAATCAACTGTGACTGATATCCTCATGAGGAGAGGATAGACACAGAAGAGAAAGGAAAAGATGCTATGTGACAACAGAGGCAGAGATTAGAGTGATATATCTATAAGTCAAGGAATGCCAAGGATTGCTGGCAATGCAGGAGCAAAGAGAAAGGCATGGGGCAGATTCCCCCCTGGTGCCTTCAAAGAGAGCGATGGCTCTGCCAATGCATTGATTTCAAACTTCCATCCTCCAGAGCTGTGAGAGAATAAATATATGTTGTTTTAAGCCAAATAAATAAATAAAAGCTTGCAAGTAGCCATCTAGATGCAATGATGGGTCTCTCCTCCTCCAGAGCAAAGAAGAATGAAGAAAACCACAGACCCATGGAAATGATTAGTCCAAGCAACTGGTACATCATGTGATCCTTGCCATATACAACTATGAGACCAAAAGAACTAGATGGTGCCTAGCTACCACTGTCAACCACTGGGAGGAGGATCTATGGAGGAGATCCTGGATAGAATGGGAGAACAATATGGAATAAAACTCAAAATCATAAAAAAGAAAAGAGACCATGTTCTGGTTACCTAGTACTTCTCTGACAGGAATATACCACAAATGGGATGACTTAAACAAACAGGAGGTTATTCTTAAAATTTGGAGGCTTTAAGTCCAAGTTCAAAGTGCCAGGCTCTAGCACAATGGTGAAAGCCCCTCAGCCTTGGGCTTCAGTTCTGCCTCCAGCTCCTGGCCCACTGGAGCTAGAGGCTTTTCTTCACTCAGACAGCTGCTGGCTGCTGAGGCTGCCAAACCCAAGGCTTCCAAGTAAAAAGGCACAGTCCTGATGTTACCAAACCACACGGCAGGCCATTAATTCAAGTCTATTGTAAGTCCCCAGGTCAGCAGAGCATGGCAGGGTGCTGAACAACAACATGGCTATATGCAGGGTCCAAGCATGCCATAAGCTAGAGACCATTCCCCAAGGCTTCTACTTATATACAGGAAGCAGACCACATTCCCTAAGGCAGCTACTCAGCTGCTCCCAGTAGATTACACCATGGAGTTGATTACCAGTCTCCTCATGGGGAATACTACATCTAGCTGCCCAGCCATTCAACCAGGCCCAACCAAGTTGACACACAAACTGAACTACCACAGACCAGGTTTGCTGGTCTGATAGAGCCTGGTGGAACCCCTGAGACTATGGCCCCTAGCTGCCCGTCAGGTCTGGAATTGTGGCTTCCAGCCAAACAAAATACAGACATATGAGCTGAACATTTACATTAGGTAGATGCACTCCTTGGAGAGATCAATCATGGGAAAACAGAAGGGCAGTGTATGCACAGGGAGACAGCTTGGGCAGGAGTGCATGGGAGGGAAGGACACAGGGAAGAAGAAACTGGGGAGGGAGTGGAAAGAGAGCTGTTGCATTGTTGGAAATTGCAGTGAATGTCATGAGACACGGTGTATGTGAACTGCTGTATGGAAAATGAATTTGCTTTGTAAACTTTCACCCAAATCACAATAAAAATTAAAAAAAAAATTTACATGGCAAAACCAGGACAATACAGGGGGTTGTTTGTAAAGTTTAATTTCCTTAAAGATCTTTTAGATCTTGGCAAGTAAGAAAAGACCTATAGAAAAATAGACAAAGGGTATAAATAGCTCCCAGGGAAGCAAACATGAATGTCTCTGTAAAGCATGAGCTGCTTAACCTTACTCATAGGGAAATACAAATTAAGTTTGGTAAGCACTTTTGGGGGTGTGGCATGCCAAAAAAGCATGATCTGCGTGTCAATTGGGAAACCTCATATAGAGGACCATTTGACATAGCAGTGCTGCTCCTGGGTAGTTACCCTATGAATTTAGTTATATATATAACAAATGCTGTATGTACAGTGTGGTAGTTCAATTGGTGTGTCAACTTGGCTGGGCCTGGTTGGGTAGCCAGGCAGCTGGATGTATTATTCCCCATGATGAGACTGGTAATCAACTCCATGGTGAAACCTACTATGAGCAGCTGAGTAGCTGCCTTAGGGAATGTGGTCTTCCTGTATAAAAGTAGAAGCCTTGGGAAATGGTCTTGAGCTTGTGGCACGCTTGGACCCTGCATGTAGCTGTGTCATTGTTCAGCAGCCTGCCATGCTCTGCCAACCTGGGGACTTACAATGGACTTGAATTAATGGCCTGCTGTGTTGTTTGGTAACATCAAGACTATGCCCTTTCACTTGTCGACCTTGGGCTTGTCAGCCTCAGTAGCTAGCAGCTGCTTGCGTGGAAAGATGCCTCTAGCTTCAGTGGGCCGGGAACTGGAGGCAGAGCTGAAGCTCAAGGTCGAGGGGTTTTCACCCAGTCCCTAGAGCCTGGCACTTGGAACCCAGACTTCTAGCCTCCTAAGAGAATAAACTCCCTGTTTGTTAAGGCCATCCCATTTGTGGTATATTCCTGTCAGAGCAGCACTAGGTAACCAGAACATACAGGGATATTTCTTCTACCATTGTTTGCCATAGCAAAATAATGGAAACAATCAACAAGGCTCTGGTTAGATATATCCATAGAACATCCCCCTGCAATTAATGTAGAGAATAAGATAGGTCTAAGTGTATTGGTACAGAATAGTTCTCAAAATATTGCATGAAAAAACAAACTGCAGAACAGTGTTTGGGTGCTATCATTGTGCAGTGTTTTATATACAGTATATATTCCTGAGTATGTGTAGAATATCTTTGGAAGGGTGCATAAGAAACCAGTAATCTTTTCATGGGAAGAGGAACCAGATTGCTGGGGAATGATGCTGTCTGGTACCGCTGAATTTTGTACCATAAATATTTATTATTAGTCAAATTGTAATTTAAAAGCAAGCAAAAGAAAAAAAAAAAAAAGGCAACAACAAAAAGTGTGCCTTCATTCAGCCAGACATGACTTCCTTCCTTTTTTGCCAAATACATGTGTTGCTCTCATATCCTATTTTCTGAGTTATTTTTTCTCCACAATAAAATTATTAATTTTTTTTTCTTTTGGATTGAAGACTTGTCAAAATATTTTATTTACTGTTTCATTCACACATCCAAAATGTTGAAACATCATTCATGACCAAATAAACCACCTAAGAAATTCTATATTATTTAGACTGTTATTGCATGAAATAACCTCATTAAGGCCCTAATAGGTTTTTATGCATTATTCTATCAGAAAAATAAACAGACACATTGAAATATACTCCACTGGTGTTTTAAATATGTTCATGTTTGTGTGACTTTATTAAAAGCAAAGTGGTTCATCTTGACATGAAAATAAAGAGACCATGGAGAACTTCCCTTTCAAGCAGTATGGTGGTTAAGAACCCCAATAACCCAGTTTCTAAAAACAAAAGTTGTTAACTCTCTAGGACAAGAACCTGCATATCTAGGAGCTCAATAAATATTAGTTGACAAAAAGACCCCCACGGCATTTAATTGGGACCCATTTGGATCTTGAATCCAGACATCATGCCCTTTACTGTTCAGTGGAACCAGCTGGATAGGAGAGATGGGAGTATGTCCATATATCTGATCTGGAATGCCTTGTTTACCAGCCCAGTTGGGGAAAGCGAACTCCCAAGCTGAAATCTGGTTAGAGAGAAGCTGTCTCTTTAAGAACTGGCGGGGTGGCTCCGCCCTTTAAAGGAATCAGCTGAACCTGAGTCACTTGACTTCCCGGTGCCTCTTCGGAAGTCGGGCCGCATGTGCGGCAGTGGGAATCCCTGTTGGGGTTGCGGGCGCTGTGCCCCCAGCCCCATGCTCCTCTTGAGCCTGTTACTGTTTGCAGCCCCGTTTGGTCTGCTCGGGGAGGAGACTCGCCAGGTGAGGGCTGCTTGGCTAGGGAGCTGCAGTGGTTTCTGGAAATGGTACCCTATGGGGTGGCTGGAATATGGGGCAAATGAAGGGTGGAGGCGTGGCTACAAAGAAAAGGATTCTTCAGTCTGTGGAGAAGAGAGGCAGCCATGGATAAGGGAAGAAATAGTGGACTAGTGTGGATGTGAGGGCTTCCTGTCTTCAGGTGAAGTCTAGACTCTGACTAAACCCTGCTGACCCAGGTCCGGGCCAATGTTAGATTTTTCCCTTCCTCATAGCCTTGGGTCCTGATCTCCCACCAGGGTCAGGGTGTTCCTGCTATACTCTCATCTCTTCCACCTCACCTCTGCCCCTTTTCCCAGGATTCCCTTAGCTCCCGCATCCACTCCTCTTGCTTAGGTCCCTGAGATTCCACCCTTTCTCCAGTATTCCCCAAGCCCCTCTCCCGCAGCCTTCTTTGCCCTGTGTCTCTCCTTGATCCTGTTCCCTCAGTCCTTCTCATTCACACTACTTGTTCCAGGTGTCTCTGGAGGTCATCCCTGGCTGGCTGGGGCCCCCCCAGAACTTGCTTCATATCCGGGCAGTGGGCACCAACTCCACGCTGCACTACGTGTGGAGCAGCATGGGGCCTCCAGCAGTGCTGCTGGTGGCCACCAACACCCCCAACAGCTTCCTGAGTGTCAACTGGAGTCGCCTGCTATCCCCTGAGCCTGATGAGGGCCTGATGGTACTCCCTAAGGACAGCATCCAGTTTTCTTCTGCCCTTGTCTTTACCAGGGTGAGGATGTTGGGGGAACCAAGTGAAAGAGCCACAGAGGAGAGAGTTCATCCTAATTAGAGGGAGGAACTGAAGACTGGGGGTGGGGCTAGTGAGTGGTGGATGATGATCTCAGAGAAAGCTGGACCCAGGTAAGTCCAGTCCTGTCCCAACCCTGTCCTCCAGCTGTTTGAGTTTGACAGCACCAACATGTCTGATGTAGCAGCAGAGGTCCCAGGAAAACTGTATCCCCCATACTCTTTGGCTGAGTTCTACTGGAACAACATCACTGACTCATTGGACACCGCCACCCTGAGTGCCACATTTCAAGGCCACCCCATGCACGACCCTACCAAGGCTTTTGCCAATGGCAGCCTGGCCTTCAGGGTAAGGATGTGGGCAATCAGAAGGAATTCAAGGCTAGTTTATGAGGGTGGGAGTTAATGGGGGTGGCGTTCAAGCACGGACATTCATCTGCTTTCCACACCTCTCATTCCTCCTCCTTTCTAGGTCCAGGCGTTTTCCAGATCCGGCCGACCAGTCCAACCCCCTCGCCTCCTGCACACAGCAGACACGTGCCAGCTGGAGGTAGCCCTGGTTGGAGTCTCTCCCCAGGGAAACCGCTCCCTGTTTGGGCTGGAGGTAGCCACCTTGAGCCAGAGCCCTGACTGTCCCTCAATGCAAGAGCAACATTCTATCGATGATGAGTATGCACCTGCTGTCTTCCAGGTCAAGCTTCCAATGGAGAGGCATATGGGTGGGGAATGTATGTGGGACCCCATTAGGACCTTAGAGAGTCAGTCAACCATTTAACATTTAGCAACGCTTTACTCAGTTCCTTGTAATTGCTGGGCACTGTGCTAATGAATCTGACCCAGTCTCTGCCTCCAGTGGAGGAGACAAGCAGAAGTCGGTGCCATGTGACTTGTGCTCTGGAAGGTGGGGATCTGCAAGGGTCTCAGAAGAAGGAGCTGAGGGCAGACTTGCAGGATGTCAGAGCTAGAAAAGGACTCCATGCTCATCCAGTCCAACTCCCCCTTTCTACAAAGAGATAAAGGCCCTAGTGCACGGCCTATCAGTTCTAGAACCAGGCCTAGGACTTGGACTCCTGCTTTCCCTAGCGCACTTTCTGTCACTACTGGTAACAGATCGAGGCTGGGAGATGGTGGGGGACAAGAAGGGTTGAGCATGGATTGATCCTTCTCACTCTGCTTTGTCTTTCTCCATAGTTGGACCAGCTGCTGTGGGGCTCCCTCCCATCAGGCTTTGTGCAATGGAGGCCAGTGGCTTTCTCCCAGAAGCAGGGTAGCCGAGAATCAGCACTACCCTGCCAAATATCCTCACTTCACCCTCCTTTGGCATACCACCTCCCCCAGTCACCCATTGTCCGGGCCTTCTTTGGGTCCCAGACCAACTTCTGTGCCTTCAATCTGACATTTGGGGCTTCCACAGGCCCTGGCTACTGGGACCAACACTACCTCAGCTGGTAAGAGCCAGGGCTGGGCTGAGGGTTTGGGGAATTGAAGTAGAGGAGAGCTGAGCCTCCCAGCTCTCCCTCCTAAGCCTGCCTAACTATCTTTTTCACCCTGCTTTCTCTAGGTCAATGCTCCTGGGCATAGGCTTCCCTCCAATGGACACCCTGTCCCCATTAGTCCTGGGCATCATGGCGGTGGCCCTGGGTACTCCAGGGCTCATGCTGCTAGGGGGAGGTCTGATTCTGCTACTGCGCCACAAGCAGTACTCAGAGTACCAGCGCATAAATTGAGGCCCACTTTCTAGAGGGAAGGACATCACTGGACCTGCCTTGCTGTGCCTCAAACCTCTGGGAGGTTGGAGGGTCAGTGTTTCAGCCAGGCCCCTCTCCTCTTCCATCTTGATTTTCTACAGAACCTCAAACCCCAGCCTCAACTCTCTGGGGACTCCCAGGTGGGGCTTCCTTCATACCCTGGAGAAGAGGCCAGGGACAGGATGGATTATTGCTAGAGGGAGGGTCCCCTTGGAGTTGTTCCATCCCCACCCCATCCCCCATTTTCCTTGAATAAGACTTACAGGCCGAAAAGAGAGGCCTTCTGACTGGCTGGCTGCCCTGGAGGTGGTGAAATAGATTTTTTTTTTCCATAGGGCTCCAGTCTCATGAGTGTTGTTGGGCTGGTTTGGGCTGGTTCCAGGGAGCAGGAGGGCTAAGAGATGGGTGTGGAAGGTAGGTGTTTCTGTTCAAGGCTCCATTTCCTCACCAGCTCTAGTTCTCCTCTTTGTCATGGCCACCCTCTACTGTGCGGAGTTGGGAGTTTTCTGCTGCACAATTTGAACCAAGGAAGGGATGCTGGAGACTGGGGGACAAACAAAGAGCTAGCCAACAAAGACTGTAGTAATTTATTGTTGCCCCCCCCCACAGACACACACACACATCATCACACTGGGTTATAACAGCAAACACTGTGCCTTGCAGCCACTCCTCAGTCACCAATGCATGGGCACACACTCACACAGCTGCTTTCTGTGCTCTTGGAAGGCAGATCTCCCTATCTGCTCCTCTTTTCCCATGTGAGACGTGTGACTTGTGGGCAGTTTAGAGATGGGAAGTCACAGAGGCCTAAATAGGTTGGAAGGAAAGAAGCAGCAGTTCTGGGCTGGGACAGCTGGAATAGGCTTCACTGAGGCTAAAGGGCCCATGAGGACCAATCATGCGGGGTCCCAAACCCAGGCTCCCTAGAGAAGGTTTCCACCAATCTTGAAAGTCCTGTCAGATCTCATACCCAGCCTCTATCCTTAGCCACAGGGAGTTCTGGTGGTTCAGTGCCTGAGGCATTTGACTGCTAACTGGAATGCTGGCAGTTCAAACTCACCAGCCACTCTGGGAAGGAAAATGGGGCAGTCTACTTCTTTAAAGATTCACCTCCTTGAAAACCCAATGGGGGTTGCTGTGAATTGGAATTGATTCTGTGACAGTGAGTTTGATTTTTGGTTTTGATCCTTAGCCACAGGAAGCATTTCTTGTCTCCTTGAGGCCCTCTGCTTAGACAGCTGACAAAGAAATGGTCAAGGATTTGGCTGTGGCTCTGCTTCTTACTTCGCAGGAGCCCGGGGAGAAAAGCAGAGTTCAGCATTAATGGGCCATGTGTGGCAGTGGTCTCAGAGGCTGCTCAGGAAGAAACCATGCTTCTTGCCCTGCCCTGCTTCTGGCCCCATGCTCTCAACAACCTTAAGGGACATGGCTATCCATCTCTTTTCTTGCAAGAAAACTAAATCCCGCCCTCGTGACTGTGCCTAGCTTCAAAGGTGAAGCATGCAGGCATGGGGAGAGCAAGGGAAAGTCCAGGCTGTGACTGGATGGGCCTCCAGTCGGAGCCGTAGTGGGGTTTATCCCTCTGGGGCACCAGGTCTGGGGCAAAGTCCAGGCCCGCAAACCCATTCGGAAAAGCGTCCCACGCCCATCCCGCTAGCCTGGATGAGGAGAGGGCGGAGCGGCTCAGCCCCAGGGGCGGGGCCTGTAGTCGGAGGCGGAGTGGGCGTGGTCCGGGTAGTCCAGGCGACTCTCGGCCGCAGTGAGCATGCGCTCCGGCTCCACTACGAACATGTAGTAGAGGTTCCACATCAGCATGGCCAGCAGCGGTAGAAACGTCAAGCCGTAGCCAAAGCCTCGGAAGGAGCGGCCCACGGCGAAGGTCAGCCAGTATATCAGCCTGGGAAGACAAGAAAGGGTCGGGCTACCCTATGGGTCACAACAGTCCCATTCCGTTGTGCAAAGGGTCGCCATGAGTCGGGGCCCCACTGGACATCACCTAATAATAACCGCCCTCGAGGGAAGCGCGGAGAACAGATAAGCGGATGGGGATTGGTGGGTGTGGCTGGTATTCTAACAACAGCCAATATTTATGCACTTACAATGTGCCAGGTACTGTGCTAATTACTTTAAGTGCACTATTTAATTTAGATTTCTTCACATCTCTACAAAGTTAATATATTTATCCCCCTCTTGTATTAATTTTTTAAATTTTAATTAAAATTTCTTGAGTGGGCAGTATACAATCACGTGGTTCAAAATTCAGAGGTACCAATGAGTATGTATAAAGTCTTCCTACTTTTCCCAATTCCCAGCCACCCTAGTCTCTGCCTCTGACATCCAGTGTTACGGTTTCTTGTGCCTCAAGTAATGTTTTATGCACATACCGGCAAAACAGTTTATGTTTTCTTTTTCTCCTTTTTTTTTAAGTACAGAAGCATTCTATATAGACTGTTCTGTATGCTGATCTTTTCTTTCACTTAATATATTTTGGAGATAACTTTATATCAGGATATAAACAGATTCTTCAGTCTTTTACATTCGCAGTGCATTTCAGTATATTTATTTTCTCTTTTGCAGATGAAGAAACTAAGATTCCATAGGGGTTAAGTAAGATTCAAGGTAACACATCTGGGAAATAGGAAAGCTGTGATTTGAACCCAAACCTCCTGCCTTTTTAAAGGAGCAAAAGGAAAGAGAAGCCAGTTTCAAGAGGGCTTGAAGCCCAGAGGGATGGATCAACCACCAAATTAACTCCTTTTGGAAAATCAAAACACACATTCTCCAACAAGGGTTGAGGAGCAGCATCCTTTTAGTATATGAAGGACTGACCACTTACTACAACATTGACATGTCTCTGCTTTTTCACCTGTGAAACGGAGGGAAGAGTACCTGCTGTTTCCTAAGTGTAGCAGCAGGCAGTATGTCATTATAATAAGAATCCACATTTATTAAACTCTTACATGTGCCTGACTATTGTAAACACTCTACAGGAATTGACTCATTTAATCCTCACAACAACTCCATTTTATAGATGAGGAAACAAGCACAAAATGCTTAAGTAATTGCCCATGATAGAAAAGAAAGGACCATGGATAGGAAAGGGAAGAGACCTGGATTCTGGTCCTATAAAATGGGAGAGCTGTACCAGCTGACTCTTCCTTTAGTTCTGTGATAATTCTTACTGTTTAAGCCAACTTCTACCTGAGAGCAGCATTCCTCAAGAGGGAGATGAGAGGTTGAGTTACCTGAACAGGAACATGTTTATCTTGGGAAACAACTACTGGAAGAAAATGCAAAGCTGCTTGATAGCCAGAAGGCTGGTGGGATAGCTGACTACTCAGCAGAAGTGACAGGAAGGCAAATTTTAGCTTGATATAAGGAGGACTATATCTCTGGTAGCATAGTGGCTAAAGCACTTGACTGCTAACCAGAAGGCTGGCGGTTCAAACCCACCAGCCACTCCTCGGAAGGAAGGTTGGGCAATCCTACTTCCGTAGTGATACTGCCTCGGAAACCCAAGGAGGGGTCACTATGAGTCGGGGCCGACTCGACGGCACATAACAACAACAACAACATTTTAACAGTTAAAGCTACCTGGAAGCCTATATTGAAAGTGGTAAGAGAAAATGTATTAGGGATAAACATAAAGACATGCACGTGGGTTCAGAAATTCAAAAGTGCTTTCTATGTTAACAGTAATTCACATGGGAAAAAAAAAAAACCCTAAGGATTTCAGCGGACTGCAGACTGACTGAAAGAAGAGTTATGAGGCCACCATGAGAGCTAATGTGCTCATGGTTTGCAGGAGGACAGTACCCTTGCAGGGGTCCCATTGACAAGCAGAATTTCCTGCCCAGAGGAAAGAACCCAGGACAGTGAAGGGACCTAGGAAGTTAGCAAAGAGACTGGGGTAGCAGGGTGTTGAACTAGGGGAAATTCAGAGCTGTTGTTAAATATCTGAATTTGTTTTAGGCAGTTCTAGAGGTTAAGGGCAGGGCAGCAGTTTTCAGTATAATGTAAAAACTTTCTAATAACTCTGTTGCCATCAAGTCAATTTCAACTCATGGCAATCCCATGCATTACACAGCAGAACTGAGCCCCATAAGGTTTTCTTGGCTATGATCTTTATGGAAGCAGATGACTAGGGCTTTCTTTTGTAGTGCCACTGGGTGGGGGTTCAAACCCACAGTCTTTTGATTATTAGTCAAACGCAAACTGTTTTCACCACCCAGGAACTCCTAACAATTGTTTGCTGTTGAGTCAATTCCGACTCATAGAGACTCTGTGACAGAGTAGAACTGCCCCATAGGGTTTCCCAGGCTGTAATTTTTACAGGAGCAGATCACCAGGTCTTTTCTCCTGTGGAACACTGGTGGGTTTGAACCTCTGACCTTTCAGTTAGCAGCTGAGCATTTAACTATTGTACCACCAGAGCTTCTTCCTAACAATTGTTGTTGTTGTTGTGTGCCGTCGAGTCGGCCCCAACTCATAGCGACCCCTCCTTGGGTTTCCGAGGCAGTATCACTACAGAAGTAGGATTGCCCAACCTTCCTTCCGAGGAGCGGCTGGTGGGTTTGAACCGTCAGCCTTCTGGTTAGCAGGCAAGTGACTTAGCCACTATGCTACCAGAGCTCCCTCCTAACAATTAGGATATTTAAAAAATGAAACAGATTGGCTTATAAAGAATTGAGTACCTTATCTCAGGGGGTGTTCAACAGGTGGCCAACGGCCACTTGACCAGAGTGCCACAGAGGAATGGCTGCAATGGGTAGGAGGTTGATCTAGATGATGCCTGAAGGCCCTTCCAGTTCTAGGTTGGTATATATGTCTCTGAAGTCAACTTCCTATGGGAAGACATATGAGGTGATCACTCGCTACCAGGTGAGGAAAGGTACAAGGGAGACAGTGGACTCTCTGCTCCAAGATGCACATTTGGGCTGATGCAGAATCCAGAAAGCCCCCTGCCCTGGTTCTCCAGCCATTTGAATTCCCAGGTTCCCTTAGCATCACCACCCCCATGCTCCAACCCCAGCCCCAACTCACCTGGAGATGGCAAAGAGGCCAGTGAGCAGTGGGAGCAGCTTGAGGGTGTCTTGAGGCAGGTAGGTAGAAAGCACAGCCAGGTTGAAAAAGTAGAGGATGAAGAGCTGTACCGACTGGGCCACATATCTCCGGTGGATCTCCACCTCCTGCCGGGGCTCCGCGAAGGGCCGTAGGGCAGAAAAGCACAGCAGACTCAGCCCATATACCAGGATCCCTATGTGTTGGGGAGCACAGAGGGTCAGGAAAGGCAGGAGAAAGGAGCTTTAGGCAGGAATCTGGGGGCAGGGTTCGCAGTGTAGGGTGTGGTCCCGTAGAAGTAAAGTGCATAGGTTACACACAATGGGGCTGAGGTGGTCCTGAGAGGGGGTGGGCACACAGGTGGCAGGGCAAAGGTGACAGAGTCCATTTTGAATGACGGGAAACCCTCCTGCTCCCCAAATCAGGCATTCCCTGCCCTCCTCAAGTCTAGTTCCAAGATGCCATCTTTGTTCTAAAGGGCCCAGAGCTCACCTAGCACGATGGGGAATGTGGCAAAGACCCCACAGCGCAGCGTGTAGATCAGGCGGGAACTCATGGTGGGTAGCCGTGGGGCATCAAAGGGCAGGAAGGCATATGCCCCGTACAGTAGGCAGGGAAAGAGGACGAGGGCAGCCCCTACTGAGGCCACAGCCCTCAGCCCCTCACGGCCCCCACAGCTCACACAGGACCGGCCAGGTGGCTTCACTACTGCCTCGACCCACTTGCGTTCAATGGGCTCAGGGTGGGTGGCCCGGATGGGCAGGAAGGCCCGGCGCTCGCCTTTGCTCGACTCGCAGTGTACTATGAGGTCCTCCTGGGGTCGCTGCTCAATGCATTGTAGGTCGATGGGCACAAAGGCCCGGGCTTCCTTCTCAGGCAACAGATTTGCATCATCATCAGGTGGCTCCTCTGGGGGTGGCTCTGATTTGAGGGGCTCTAGCTCAATGCCCCGCCAGCCAGGGGGATCCAGGAATGGGGCACTGGGATGGGGGCCAGTCCCCCAGGGCAAGGTGGCAGCTTCGCTCACTGTGCTGTCTAGAGCATCCCCAGTCCCGTCTCCAGTCATGGGAGACCCAACTGAAGATTCCACTCTTGGGGACTCAGTCCCACCTTCTCCTTCTGGCTGCCGGCCATTGGGAATCAAGGCCTGTGGTGGGCTTTTTTCTGGAGCCTCGGACCCCTTCACTTCCAACAGGGTTGCAGTCTCAGGTTCTGTCATCCTGAGGCCTCAGTTGCGGGGGTGGTGTCTACAAAGAGGTCATGTCACCCTGGAGGGAGCAGAGAAAAGGCCTGTCAGAAGCCCCTATCCTCTGGCCCTTAGGACAGGCTGGCAGAACTGGCACTTTCCAGGGCAGCCCCATCCTGGGCTTGAGCCCCTTCTGGGACCTTAGGGAGAACAGTGTGGAGGAAGGTGTTGAAATCAGGGCTTGGAACCTATTCTTTCTGATTTGACCTTCCTGATTTGCATTTCCACCCTTTGTATCTGAGGTGGAAATGCATATTCTCAGCAGAGGGTCCAGTCTTGTTTGAAAGGGAGGGAGTTGAGAAGGAAGTGAGCAGGTGAAATGGAGGCTCCCTTTCAACATCAAACACCAACCAGCAGGAGAGGGTGAGTCAGGGGGCACAAGTCCCAGCAGCTGTGGCCTCAGCCAGCTCACCCACGCCTTCTACCCCCCTGGGGTCATGGCCACACTAATCCAGGGATGGGAGAAAGAGAAGGTGTCTAGAACTTTGTCAAGAGCTTTCTTTCCACCAGAGAAGCTCCCCTTATCTTCCCACTTCCCTTCTCCCTGCAGACTACCGCAGTGCAGTCGATGCCAGTGATTTGCCAACAGATCTGTCACAAGGAGCTAGCCATCTCAAGGCATCCTGTCCCCTCAGCTCTAATCTGGGTACGTGGTCAGTGTCCAAACTCCTCACTGGCCCACCTCATCTACTTCCGAAGTCTGGGTCTGTCCATTCCCAACTTCCAGGTCTAATCATGGCTGTTTCCCATGCTTCCACCCCTGCCTTTCTCCCCACCCTGCCATTTATTCTCTGCCTCACTGCTCCCTTCTCTTCAAGGACCCTCCTACCCCTCCTCACAGTTTGGACCCATGACACCCTCTTACTTTCCATCTGAAGACAGGTGAAGGGTCCCCAGCGTCTGGCAAGGAGCTGCCCAGTTCCCTGCTGGTTCTACAAGTATTTCTTTCAGTCTCCCTCCCTGTACCAGTGTCTCCAAACCTGTCTGACCAGAGCAGGTGGGGCCCAGATTAAAGGGAAAGGCCCCGCCCGGCTGAATTGGCCGACAGAAAAAGCGTTAGAGGAGGAACTTCATCCTTTCTGAAAGTGGCAGTACAGCTGGACATAAGACACAAGCACCTGTTTTGGGCACGTGGAATGTGTAGGGGCGCTCAGCTAGGAAAGCAGAGGGGAGAGTAGGTTTGTGTATCCAGCGATACTTGGAATAGGTTGGAATGCTCAGAAAAGAGTTGAAATTTGTACATTTATTCATTCGGTACGTATTTATTGAGCACCTATTATTAGTTAAGGAGCTCTGGTAACATAGTGCCTAAGGCATTTGACTGCTAATCAGAAGGCTGGTGGTTCAAACCCACCAGCCACTCCTCGGAAGGAAGGTTGTACGATCTACTTCCGTAGTGATACCGCTTTGGAAACCCAAGGAGGGGTTGCTATGAGTCGGATCTGACTCCATGGCAGTGAGTTTGTTTTTTTGAGTTTATTATTAGCTAGGTACTATTCTAGGCACTCTACTTCTGTAGAGATACCACCTTGGAAACCCAAGGAGGGGTCGCTGTGAGCGATGGCAGTGAGTTTGGTTTCTTTGATTCTAGGCATTGACATGGAATGGAGCAAGATGACATGCAAGGTCCCTGTCTTTTAGGAGCTTATGTTCTACTGGGGGGTCAGATAAGAAAGAAGCCTAGCAACTAAACCAGTAAGACAATTTCAGTAAGGAAAACCTCTTTGACAGGGTGACATCTGAGCTGAGACCTGATGGGAAACCAGGAGTATGAGTGTTCCAGGTGGAGGAACAGCTAGTGAAAGGTCAACAGGGAGTAAGGTCTTAGGCTGTTTCAGGAGCAGAAATGTTGGGTGATTGGAGCCAAGAGCACAGTGGTGAAAGGGGAATTGATGTTCCCATTACAACCTGTAAACAGGCCCAGGAACACTTTGCCTTTTAACTTAAAAGTTAAGAGAACATTAGGAATCCAAGTTAGATAGCAGGTAATCCTTCCAATTTGAGAGTGGGAGAGAAAGTGGCTTCCCACAGATTTCTATGGGAACTTATCTCTAAAGTCATTTGAAACTCCATGAGTGTAGGGTCAGTGTCTAGCTTGCTCATCTCTTTGTCACCAGCACAGTGGCTGGAAGACAGGAAGTATTCAATAAATGTCTGCTGGGCTTGTGTGTGAGAGAGATGCAAGCTAGAAATCTTTGGGAGAGGGAGCTGAAGGGTGAGGTGCTTGTTCAAAAATAATGTCTTACCGGGTCATCCTCCTATGTGATGCTCTGCCATCTCCAAAAAAATTTTAACATACATTTAAAATATATAGAGAGAAAGAGAGAAAAGGAAAAATTGGAATCACTCTAGCCAGTAATTTGAAAGAGGCTGGGCTCAGATGGGGAGGGGGAAAGAAGGGCAGAAGGATGGACCAAATGACCACTGGGCTGGGAGAAACCACTGATTCTCCTGCTCTAATCCAGCTTGGCTTCAGTGCTCTCACTGATTCCACTGTACGTTCTCTGGCAGCTTTGTCAATAAAGTTTTTCGCAAGCGTCCGGAGAAGCCGGAAAGAGGCCACGCTGCCCAGAGTTAGTTCTGGCAACTTCCCGGGAGGGAAAACGAGTTTCGCGAGATTTGACAGAAGCAGGCCACTGGCCTACAACTGTGCGACTGATATCGCGAGATTTGGCAGGCGGAGGAGGAGCTGTCGCGGGCAGCAGCCTCACAGCGATGGCGGCCGAGCAGGGCCGGCAGCGGTGGCGGCTGCGGCTACGGCCGGAGACGGCAATGGTGGCGGCAGCAGTGGGTGGCGGGGGCCTGTGACCGGGAGCCGTCCCCGGACCCGGGCACCATGAGCCAAGGCCCCCCGACAGGGGAGAGCAGCGAGCCCGAAGCAAAGGTCCTCCACACTAAGCGGCTTTACCGGTGAGAGGGGCTGGGGCGTGAGTGCAGCAGCCGAGGAAAGTGGGGCTACAGCGAGGGGCGGGGCTTCCTGGACGGGCAGGAACTAGGTGTCGGGCTGGGGTGCAGGCGAGGAACGAGGGTGCAATTTTGGAGGGAGCAGGAGGGGCGGGGCTCCGTAACCGGGATGGAGCTGAACCGAGGAATTGGGTGGGTGGGAGGTTTGGAGGGAAGCACGTGGAGGAGTCCCCTCCGTAGTGAACTTGGGGTGGGCGCTAAACTTTGCGGATTAGTGCCAAGAGGGTGGGAATAAGGGGCTGGAAGAGTAAGGTAGGTGAGGGTGGGGCCATAGATGGGGAAGAACCCGGAAGGGAACGGTGCTTAGAACCGTGTGGGGATTCCTGCGAGTAGTACTTAACAGGGAAGGAGCCCCGGGCTGAAGTCGAGAGAGCCAGGTTCAGGTCTTTGCTTTGCCGTTTTCTAACTGTGTGACCTTGAGTCTCAGTTCCTTGTCCTTAAAAGGAGTGATTCGGCTTGGATAAGCTCTTGAAGTCATCTATGGCTCTAATTTTTGTGAGTCTGAATGAGAAGAAAGCTGGAAAGCTAGTTGGCATTGGACTGGAAGGGCCATGAAAGACTTTGGGTTCAGGGTATTTTTAGGACATGGGTGCCCACTTCGGTACCCTTGGGAACTCCTGAGTCCTGCCTTTCTCCTAGCCTCATGACTGCATTCTCTTGCCAAGGAACTTCCTTTCCAGGTTTCTGATTTCCACCGTGCTGCCCACACTCCTCAGGTCACATCTTCACTCTTCATCACTCTATTGAGAACAGGGGAACAGTCTAATAGGAGCTTTTCCCACCCAGGGTTGAGGATTTGGGGAGTAGGGCACCAGGACATTGGCCCCATAACTGGATCAGAATAGCATGAAGCATAGAGACCGAGTTGAGTTTTTTGCCTTCTGTTAGGGAAAAGAACTCGACATTTTCATGTAGCTTAGACAATCTAGAACAGAGATGTTTGCATGAGGAAATGACCCTTAGAGCCTTGGCCTCTTTCTTGGCAGTGAAAGGGTCAAGAGCATGTTGTCTTTTTTTCCCTGAGCAGACATTCAGCCTGCTCTGGCTTTCTAAGCCAGAAGGCAGAGGGGAGCATAGGCTGCTCCAAAAATAGAAAAGTGATCCAACCCAGCAGTCCCTGGGCTCCCACTGTGGGCTGCCCCAAGCAGTCCCTAGGCAAGTAAAGAGTTAGCTGGGGGTGGCACGTGTGCCTCGTCATGTCATGCTGCCGAGTGTTGGTACTGCCTGTCAGACAGCGTGGGCAGTGTCTGCAACATTCCTTACTAGTCTCTAGCTTTGGGGGATGGCTCTGGTGGTCATCCTTCTTTTCATTCTTAAATCTGGTTCTTTCTCAAGCCAGTACTTTGATTGATCTTACTGACTTAAGCTGGTGTGTTTGTATATGTGGTTTACATGTATGCACATGGGTATCTCTACCTATAATTGTATGCTTTGAGCAGTGTGGAAATTTGAGGCAGCCAGTCTCTATTTTTATTATGTGTTGTAGCAAGAGTGATTGGTGGAAGGAAACTAAGGAAGGAAGATCTGACTTCTGTGCCCAAGATAAATGTTAAGATTGAGAACCTGCCACTCAGAACTCCAGTAAATTTGGGGAAGTCCCATAACTTAGCTGTTTACGCATGAAATTCTGAAATGTTTTTAGAACTTTTCTCAGAAGAAAAGGCAACAGGAGAAGGGATGCTGGAATGGATAAAAGCACTAATTAATTAATTAGACTAATTAATTATTATTATTATTATTTAAAACATTTTTTAAAAAGTGTAACACTGTGCTAGACCTGGGGTTACAGTAGTGAATGAGACACAAGACTAGTTTCTGTTCTGAACAATTTAGTGGAGGAGCTTATGGTCTGATGGGGAGTGGGGAAAGAGTACTGAGTCCTCTCATATTTGAGAACTTGCAATTAGAACTTCTTGAAGTAGAGATTATTAACCATTTTTGGATTGGGAATCTAAGCAGAGCTCTGGAGCCTCTCCAAAAACACAAATGCATGTATATACATACACAAA